ACCCGCCAGCCGACCGGGGCCAGCCTCCCGAGGCCCCTCCGGTCCGTCCCCCGGCTCGGCCCGGATCAGGTGGCGGCCGGCCGTCGGCGGGGTGGGGGTCACGCCCCTGAGGCCCGGCCGGCCGGGCGTCCTCGAGGAGAGATGCGGCGCCGGTCGTGACTCGGCACCCACCCGCGACGGTGGCCGGGCGCGGGCCGCCGTCGGCCGGCTCGGGTGGACGGGCCGGCCGGCCGGCCGGCCGCCGTTCGCGGAATGTGTCGGGGAACACCGACTGACGTGTGACTCAGGAGCCGCCGCCGCCGTGGGGGCCGGATCTGTCACGGTGCTGAGCCAACGGAGCCAAAACCAGTCCGCTGCCACGGACGCCGGGCGCTGTTTTGGACTTATTCTTGCCATGTTAACCAGCAGCCACCATGGGTCTAATGCTTGTGTTATAGAAGAAAAACTGGGAACAGACCGTGCTCAATCCCGCGCCCATGTGGTAACACGGGAGTGGAAGCGTTAACCGGCAGGGTATTCACGTGCCATGATGATGAATTGATCAAGCCAGCCCGGGCCAGGTCTCTGGAACTTGATTGCTTCCCACTCAGCGCTCAAGGTAATGATCCTGGCGAGATGATGGTGCCGACTACTAACACTTGTCGGAGGCACTTTGTCTTGTGACTCAAGCAGCTGTCATTCAGCGCCTACGGCGGTGCCGGTGAGCTGTGGTTAAGGGGTTAGATATATCGAACGACAAGGAGTCGGGATAAAGTCAGCAATAAAGGTACCCAGCTTTGCATACGTGGACATCGTTGATATTGCTTACTTTCATGGCCTGGCTTCTGGCGTTATTGCAGTTCACATAGTTACATGATCCCAGACCACCCATCGCAGGTCAGATAGAGGCAAACCGGATATTGCTCAAGTCGTGAAGTAAACACCTCAAGGTTGGGTGTCACGTGCCGGGCCATTTCGTCTTCGAGACCCAGTTCGATCACCACGAACCATGTTAGACCAAGCCGGATAAGGCGATCATGGACTTGACCGGACCGGTTCAAATCAGATCAGATTCTATCAGGCCAGACCAGGCCAAACCAGACCAAGCCGACCCTCACCAGACTTGGTCGGCCAGCGAGGCCAGGTCAGAGCCACAGTCCTCGTCCCCGTGAGGTAGCAGACCATTGTTTCCGGAACAAAGACTGTGTGATGCCCGCCGCCCACGCACGCAGGGAAGGTGGAGGCGCCACCGGGTCATCCCAGACAGCCAGCAGCAGCTGAGGTGGGGTGGGAGCCATCGGGTCAACCCACACAGCTGGCGGCAGGCGAGGTCTCCTCTGCCCCCTCCACTGACCCTCCCACTCCACCCGACGGGGAGGCCAAGGTGTCACGGCAGCCGTTCCCGCGCGGGGATTTTTCACCCGATCAGCCTGGCGAACAGCCAGCGGCGGCCTGGTGTATACCCCTCGCTGTGCGGGAAGATGGAGTCATCACCGGAGTCCGTCCAGAGAGCAGCCAGCGGCAGGCGCGCGGTCTCGCGCCCCTCTCACTCCCACGGGAGGGCGGAGCCATCAGCGGGTCGAACCAGACAGCCAGCGACAGCCGGGGTCACCCGCTCCACCCGCACCCGGCCCGCGCCGCCCGGCAGGGCCGCCAACAAGGCCGCATTACCATACGCCGGGCCGTGATAATTGCACGGGGCGCGGCCATGCTCCAGCGCGAGACCCCGACTGAGCAGCTGGCCGACGGGCGGCGACAAGCCGCCGCGGAGGGGCGGCAGGGCGGCGGCGCCACCGGACGGCACGCTCTTGCGTCAGCGGCCGCCGCCCGCGCCGCGCAGCCCTCGCCGGCGTGACCCGACGAACCGCCTGGCAGTGAAAGTCGCGGACGCTTAGCGGCGTCTCGCGCTGCCCCGCCTTGCCTCGCGTGCGGTACGGCACGCCGCCCGCAGCGGCGGCGCGGCGTCAACTGACGGTGTTGGCAGTAGTTGCGGTGTACCGCAACCCGGGCCGCCCAAGGCTGCTCCGCTGTCTGCTCGTGACGTATAGGAGTGCTGTCGTTTGCTCGCTGTTAAGGCTATGTTGCTTGCTTAAAACCATGTCGTTATTCGTGTCATAAGCCATATTGAGGACAGTTATATCCATGTGGAACGAGGTGAACAGGGAGCTGAAATATGCACTTTTGAAAACGTGCATAGGCCGCTTTAGAAAATTTCGATTAATCCGGCTATTTTGTATTTCCGATTCTTGAAGTCATAGTTAGGACATCTCACTGATATACACATCTTACAACCAGGCAAAACAGGCGATCATTTGGCCAATTGACCCCCATTGTGAGCTTCTGAAAGTCTGGCCAATGCTGATCAGTAGTTTCCAAAGTTACACGCATGCGTACTTCACTCCGTGCCGCTCCAGATATTCCGGATCTGGCTCACTGAGCGCCAAGCTGAATTTCACCAGCCTGGTGAACATTCTTTGCGTTTTGTTTTCGTTCAGTCAATGAGTCGGCGCGCTAAGAAAAGCTGAACACTCTCGCTCGCCGCTTGTGTATTGCCTCGTGAAAGGAGCGGCTACACGCATGTGGTGTCCCGGTGCGCGCCACCAGCCGAGCCGGGAAAGCGCGGCTCGGAGGCGGAGGTCAGCGGCTGCGGCGGAAAAGGGCAATAAACCGCCTGTGGCTGGCAACTGCCACAGCACAACTGAACAGGCATCGGATAGCATTCATCGAAGGTCAGGAGTGCGTTCACGTGGTAACCAGCCCAATAAGCTTCCCCGCCCTTAAAGAGGGAGGACTATACACAAAGGAAGAATTTCCGTTGTTTGCAAATTTTTGTCAGCTGTCAAGTTCCTGGAAACTGCAAAATTCATTCAAAGCTTGTTAGTTGAAACCAGGCTTCCTTGTACAGTGTTCCTGCTTCGGCGATGCTAGCTGGTACATTCACACTGACACAATGGCCAAGCTAAAAGGCGTTATTAAAAAGTTCACTCTTACTGTAATCATGCTACGAAACATGGGTTCCATGCAATTTTTCCCACAGTCGGGCGGTGCCTTCGGCTCAAGGCGGGCGCTGTGTGCGCTATGTTGCATCACAATGGATATTTGCGCAATGATTAGATGCAAAATGTGGTCGCTCATGCATGTGCAACCAAAAAATAACCAATGTTGTAAATTAGCCCTTATTTCAACCAGTTTCGCAGCCGAACATGTCATGTGCACTCTTGGTTTGCGCGGCATAAAACGGCGCGCAGCGAATGCCGCGTCACCTGCCGCATTTTCGAATTTCGAATCTGATCGATTTGACAGCGTGTATGTGAGATATTTCTTGCATCCGACGCATAACATTGAGAGCTGTTGAATTAAGCTGACGGGAAAATAGACCACGGTTCATAATTCCGACTCCAGCGTAAGTTGGTGCTCAAAATGCTTAGTGGCCATTGGAAACGAAGTCGCTATGAACATGAACCCCATTGCTGACGGTCTCTTCCCAGGCCCGACCTTACCCTGCAGAGCTGGCATTACGGTCCCCCAGACCGCGAGAAAGTGTCTAGTGCCTAATTGCAGAAGGGATGGACAAACCCGGTTCATTACAGCGGAGTCAAGGTGATCTAATTTGTTCAACGGCCCGAGCAAAGTGGAAGTATTGCAGCTACCAAGCGCATGCATTATCTTTCATTATAATTGCCTCATGCAGTTAAGACTGTCTTCAGCTCAGACAAGAACATAACGGCGCTTATAACATAACTCAACGTGACTTTCAGACCACCTTCCCGCAATGCGATGGCTGTGTCTCTGCACGGGGAAGTGGACTCGGCTTAAGTGCCGCTCTCTTCCATGCCGGCGCCTGCTGGGACCGACCGGCTGGCGTCGCAGAACCAAGGTCAATGAACGCACAGACTGCTGGCGAACGTCGCACACTACATGGTGTAAGTTATGCTTCCATCTACATTTACTCAGGCTTTTTGTCGAGGACGCCTGACAGCAGGAGACTTTCGTGGCGTTTGATGCAACTGTGGTGCCCCGATGGCCATGCGCTCCGTATTACAGTCAGCGAAAGCTGGCAAGAGCGTAACGCAGCTTCTGGCTCCGTGTCACAGCCAGCTGCAACTAGCAAGGGTGTAATGCGGCTTCTGGATCCGTTGCACAGCTAGCTACAGCTAGCGAGAGCATAACGGAGCTTCTTGCTCCGTCTTAGTCAGCTGCAGCTGGCAAGAGTGCAACGCAGCTTGGTGCAGGGGCGCACCACGAGGTGCAGACGTACGACACGTCCAATCACAAGACACAAGCTCGCACCCGTGATCAACAGTCCGATCAAAGGGGAATTCGTCAATGTTTTGAAAATACCTGCCAGGACATTTAGCAGTGTAACACACCTACATGGAAAAGATAATTAAGGAAAGATGATGCTTCTCAGATTTAACTCCTCGAGCCGCTGAGAGCTTATCGATCACGGACAAAGTGTCTACAGGCAGGACAAATCAGTAAGCTATCACACCGTTCCCTGCAGGGCAGCCTTGCATGCAAAGCCCCCCTAAGCGAGCGGTGCATGCGCACGAACGCCGTGCGACCAACCGCAAAGGCCACTCAAGTTTTATTCTGTTGCGGACATTGTCTTCCGAAACTTCAGATTTGCATCAGATGCAAAAAGCATGGGGCGGGGTGCTGATGCCTAGCACTAAACCAACTTCATAGGAAGGTGGTCTTCATAACCCATGTTGATCGAGCGATATTTATGAAGTCCATTATTTATTATTCCTTTATTTTGCTCTTATCTGGTCGAAAGAGTAAAATGTTTATTAGGAAGTATTGTACAACAAAAACAGCTATCATCGGATGCGTCTTGTTGGTCTAAACCTATCACGAATTCTGTCAGCCGTCTGAACAAGCTCAACCGAATTCAAAGCCCTGACATTAGTTCCTCGGCTCCAAGAGAGAAGCAATGTCAAGCCAGACCACTCCAGCATTCGTAAGATGCACAGTAAGCTCACCCTACGTCCAGACGAGTCCCGACAGTTTCTGCTTACCTGGCACGTCCTCGTCGTTGAACTTCATCTCGATCATGTGCTTCATGGCGTGGTGGGGCACGAACGAAGCCATGAAGCGCTGCTGGCCCAGGTCCTTGACGTAGGACGTCACGTGACCGCCGTTCACCAGGATCTCCAGGTTACCGGCGCCGGCTCTGGAACCATCAACTGCGCGGCGAGGGAACGGGGGGGGGGGGGGGGGGGGGCGTGAGAGACTGTCGCTTGCTTGCCGCTCTGTGCGGGCGCCGGGGCTGTCTGGCCAGCCACAGGGGACTGGGACGGACCGGCCGCGCTCTCAGCTGCAGCGGAACGCGAGGACAACAGCACGGGAGATGTCTATGCGACTCACTCAGGCTCACTTGGGCGCACTCGGAGTTACGACCCGACACGACCGATATTCTCCGAACGGCCGAAGAAAATCAACACGCAAGGAACTGGCTTTGGCTTCGGGCACAAGATCAGCGAACGCATACAGGGCTGCCCGTCCGCCTGCTCGGCCACCTCCTCGGCCGTCTTTGCCAGCCACCACTCACTCTCGAACTGGACGGGCCGGCCGACCGTGCCGTCCGGGATGCTGGCCACGCTGATCTGGGACGTGTTGTAGACGCTGCTGCCCAGCGGCGAGCCGGGGATCGGCTCCCCGCGCAGCAGAATGTCGATCTCGTGGTCCCCCACCGTCTGGGGAGGGGGAGGGGGTACTCAGGCGGCTGCCATGGTCCGCTGATATGCGATAATCTTGAGTTCGCGCCTTTTAGGGTGTCATTAACGCGACTTGCATGCCGCCGGTGATGAACAGAATCGTGTGAGCATGAGGCCATGCAACGCGAGGTGTGATGTATGACCACTCGCGCTCGTGCAGTGGCCTGGTCTTGTTTCTTTATATAACTGAGAAGGTGTGGCCATAAGGAGCTATGCTTGTAACGATAAGCATGATGACATTACTTTACATATGAAAGGTGATGCAAGGGATCAGCAGCGCCACCAGGCGGTGAGTTGTAATACCAAAGGACTTCCAATGGCAAAGGCTCACGTAGGCGGAGCTGACAGAAGTAAGGATAAACACTACATTTAGAATGTTAAGTGATTTTTAGTACACCCGATGATGATAGATAACTGAGTTTTATATGGTGCAAGTTTATATTTCCAACCGTCGTGGCTTGATCTGAGTGTCGTCACAATGGTCTCCGCAATACTAGTTTCTGGAGCTTTTATCTCACATGCTTCATCCTTCAACTCGCATTTTAGAAAATCAGTAGTTCACTTTCTCAACAGAGGAAATCTGTTAGGGATAATTCCCCATCCCGCGAACATCGACGTTTGCAATGCCGTGTGTCCGCACGAGCTCACCTGGGGCAGGTATTTGACGAGGAAGTCGTCGCCGGTTTTGCTGATGCTGCAGGGGACGCGACGGTCTGATGGGTCTGTGAACAACGACGAGTCAGGGCCAGAGGCGGTGCAGAGGTGGGCGCATGTCTGCTGTCGCAAAGGAACAAAACGCGTGTCCCGCCTATTAGTTTGAGATATCTTTCCAAATACAATCTCCGTGGCCCGTCCCAATATGAATTTTCTGCCTTAATGGCGTCAATGCGTAGCCGTTTTAAACAGTAATTATGTAAAGCTTTGTATTCCGTACGACAGAGTTTCCCAGTTTTCTAATTTGTTTAGTGCACTCAGAGAACTCAGTTTGCTCAGCACACGGCGTAAACGCTTCTTCTCTACAAGGGCAGTTATGTCTCGTCAGAGCCAGCGGATCTTCAGGCACTGGTGTCTGAAGCAGCACGGAGTACACCACGCTACTCAGCTAGTACAATTCTGGTGGCGACTTGGCATGTCCTCTATGTAGTTTTAACACAAACTGCACTGTTCACATTTAAAAAAAAATTCGTCCTCATGACATTCCAGCGGGCCCGTTACATGCGATAGTAAAGCTACGAGCAAACCATCTGAGCCCCGAGCAAACCATGTGAGCTACGAGCAAACCATATGAGCTACGAGCAAACCATCTGAGCTACGAGCAAACCATCTAAGCTACGAGCAAACCATCTGAGCTCCGAGCAAACCATCGGAGGCGACGGGACCGCAGCGAGCGGCGGCCCACAAGCCGCCTGCGCCACCCCGTCCGCCTGACCCGATCTGCGCCGTGCGGCGCGGCCCGCTGACCTCGTATGGTGACCTGAAGGTCGGCCTTGGCCGTGCCGCGCGGCGCCGTGACGGTGAACTCCGCCGGCCGCGACACGGGCGTCGTGCGCAGGCCGGCACCGCGCACCGTGACGTCACCGTGCGTGGTGGTGATGTCGGAAGAGTGGGGCAGCCGGCCAGAGGAGGACTGCAGCAGCCGGTCCGAGGAGGACTGCAGCAGTCGCGAGGACGAGCTGGACTGCACCTGTCGCCGCAGACGGAAACGTTACGCACAGAACGCGAGACTGTGACTGCACTTATCACAAGGAAGCTGACATAAGGCCCTGCGATGCTAGTCACCACGCGTAAGCTTGTACCAATTGTGAATATAAACACTGCACGTACGTCATGGCCCAGGTCAAGAGCGTCGCAACTGCACAGCATCACATGTTGCTCTCGGGCTCGAGTGGACATCCGAGCTCGGGTGGGTGCTCGGGCCGGCTTGTGAGTACTTGAGCTGCATCATGACAGCTGGAGTACGTACTCGAGCCCGTCACAAGGAATATGGATGACGATGCGGTCCACGTAAGCTGGTTTCGGTGGATGGCCTGCTTCTGGCGCATGACCGGACGGCAGATACCGTGCCCGGGAGGTTGGAAAGCCTGGATAGTGCGTCAATTTTGTGTGCGTGTGTGTCATTGGGGCTTTACGACGCACCCAGCTGCTAAGGCTATATGACGCCGTCCGCCTCTCACCCTGGCAGAAAGGGCGGGCGCCGCGGGAAATCTAACCCCGTACCGCCGCTTCCCCAGACGCGGGGTGGTTAACGCAGACGCGTTAACCACCAGCAACCCCGGTGCGTCGGTTTTGACAAATTGGCATTCTTCAATGCCTGTACATAGAGAGCTTTTGTCTATCACACCCGCCGCATCGTCCTACCGGATCAGGTCCGATAGAAAATTCCGTTTCGCGTAAGCAAACAGCTTTCCCCATTGGTTCAACTGATCTTTCCACTCTGATTATACAACGAGTAACGCAGTGCGGCGCAGAAACACTGTGTGTCCCAGTTGCACTGGCGCAACTGTTAACATCATTGCTGCATTCGCCAGCGGGATGACAATGCTGAACGTCCACAAACAGGCGAATAAACTCCAGCAATCCAATACCTGCTCTTCAAGACGAGTGAGCGAATCAGTGTATCTCTCGACCTTCTCGGACCGCTCGACGGTGGACCGGTCCACGGTGGACCGATCGACGGTGGAACGGTCGATGGTGGACCGGTCGATGGTGGACCGGTCCAGTCCGGAGCGGTCCAGGGTGTCGCGGTCCGCCCTCGGCACGTGGATCTTCTCTGCCGACGACGGGTCGAAGTCCGGCCGTGCTGTGGCGGGACGGGCGGGCGGGGTGGCCGGCGCATCAGGTGACATCGTGCAGTCAGAGGGCGGGCGGCGGCAGCGGGGCAGCGTCATGGAATATATGTGGCGATGATGGCGATGATTCCGGTTTTAGACCGCACCGTTAGTATCGGTCGTGTGACGTCCATATGGAATGTAGATGCAGGCCACGCTTGAGCAGTAATGCGACATTTCAGCCGATAGAAAGGGACGCAGATAAGCCTTCTGGTATGACTTAGAGGTGCATTCCATTTCTCACATTACCTACGCTTACGAACGTAGTCTTTGGAGCAGTTGTGAGCTTTTGCATAATAAGGGCCAAATCTCTGACATCCGAAAAAAAATATCTGACATTTTTGTAAGCGGAGAAAAACTGCCCATTGAGACAAAGAACAGGCATACTGGCAGGGACAACGGCATATCCAAATTGGCAACCACTTAATCACACACTTCCAGCTTCACACCCCCGACATATGGCTGCCGGAGCACCGACCGGCCGCCGCACGGTAGGGTCACACCAAGGTCGCTCTAAGCGCCGCGCCTCACCTGATTTGATGATGTGCTTGATATGGGCGTCCGGGTCATAGGGCAGGTCGTCGAGGGCGGAGCGGCTCCGGGAGCGAATGTCCCTGCTGTTCCACTCTGGAACCGGAGAGAGAGAGAGAGGGGCGCCCATCACCAGGGGTGGATCTAGCCTGGAGTTGTTTTTTTTTTGGGGGGGGGGGAGCAGCCGTTTGTCGCCAGCTGGCCGGTGTGGGATCCGAGGTCCAGTGCATGGTGCCTCTCGCGAGTACCTAGTAGGGACACCATTCAAGCACCGAAATGCTTTTGAATCTTCTATATACAGTATGCATGTTTACAAAACTCGTAACTTAAGATATTACTTTCAAGTCAACTGGTCAGATGGGGCCAAAGTAAAGTCAAAACAGACAGTAAGTAGACGAAACTTTTTGAAGTTCTTGGAATGTTTTGGGGGGCCAAAACATACTCTCAGAGTTTTGGGGGGCCATGGCCCCGTGCCTCCCCCCCCCCAGGATCCGCCTATGCCTATCACAGCCTCGCAACAGAGCACATCGAGGCAGCGTAGCTGCGCACACGCCGACATTGTGGCAGAGACTTCATGTGCACACCCGCACATGAGCAAGCGAATTAGGTTTCAAAGACAGACGTGGTCATGCACGGAGAGCGAACGACACATTGCCATCGCGGGTGACCTGTTTCAGTGTAAACGGAACTGGAGCGGTGATCGAGCCGAATGTGCAGTGAAAAATGGGAACAGTGTTATCAAACGTTTGCCCCGATATTTACGCTTTCCCTGATATTTACGCTTGATATTGTCCTCTGAACAATACCAAGCGTAAAGGGGTGTGATTTTTATCTTACATCTTCCACGCATTTCGATTCCGGGCACGAGGAGGTCACGTAAAGATCGAAGGACTTCGGATTCAACATAGTAACTCCTGAGACGAGAACGTATTTTACGCAGAAACAGCTCATCACCAACCCTCAATGCTGGTGTTGTTCAGGGTGTTGTTGGTGACTTGTTCGATAGCCAGCCTCTTGTCCTGGTGGTCAGCGGCCCGAATCACCTGATGATCTGAAACAAGGGCGCGTCTCTCGCATCACAAACACCAGAAGGGGAAGACCAGCAGCGTGTACCAATTGAGTCCAGTCATGTCGTCGCGGCTCGTCGAACAGTCCATTCAGGTCGCCCCCAGAAGGCCATTATAAGGCGGTTAGTCACGTCGGCACCATGCGTGGAGTGCTCACACAGTGGACGACCTCTCCACAGCAGGAATCCTTCACCGTCTAGCTAGGTCTCTCGATGTCGCGACCCAGCCGCTCCACCAGCAAAGCCCGGAAGCATGCGAGCCTCAGCGAGGAGCCAGCGCCGCTGCCGGGTTAGAAGCCGTGCGACCAGCCGTGCGTCGCCTCCGCCGTCCGCCGCGCCGCCCGTACCTTTGACGACCGTCCGCTTCAGCGAGTGGAAGCTGGTGGCCTCGTAGCCGGGCTCGGTGACCTTGTAGCGCTCGACGCGCGCGTGCGAGTGACGCCGCTCGTCGGTGAACTCCTCCACCTCGCGCGTCACCTCGCGGCCGTCGTCAAGCGTCTTGGTCTCGCGCAGCACGCGCAGGCCCGGCTCGGGCTCGCTGGAGTCGCGGCGCACCCTGCTGACGGTGCGCTCGAACAGCTGGCGCAGCTCGTCGTAGCTCTCGTCGCCGGGCGGCGCGCGCACCTGCAGCGCCTGGCTCGGGTCGGCGGCCGGAGAGGTGGGCCGCGCGCCCAGCAGCTGGCTGCTGGGCGGCAGCGCGTCGCCCGGCGCGAAGTAGCGCTCCGTCACGTTTTGGATGCGCTCGTCCAGCAGCTGGTCGGGCGGGTCGACCGGCCGCGCCACGCCGTTGCGCACCACCTTGGCCGTCTTGCGGAAGGGCGGCTCGGGACTCGATCCCGGCGCGCTGCGCAGCGGCTCGAGGCGCCCCGGGGATGGCGAACGGGGGTCGCGTCGCCTGGCCCGGCACCGCCAGCCGATCGGGCGTCGGACGTTCCTCGGTGGTGCGCGTGCGCGTCGTCTTCGTCACGGTGCTGGTGTAGCGCTCGGGCGTGTCGCGGGTCGTGCGGCCGGTGCGTCTTGGTGACGGTGGTGGTGTGTCTCTCGGCCGGAGGCCGCCGCTCTGGGGTGTCGCGGCTGTCGGGCCGGTGGGGTTCGGGCGCCACCCGGCGGTCCACGCTGTGCCAATCCTGCGACCGGTACTCTCTCGTGACCGCGCTCGTGTAGCGCTCCGGGGTGGGCCTGCTGTCGGGACTGTCCCGCTCCTGTGGGCGATACGTCTTCGTCGTCGTGTAGCGCTCGGGGGTCCGCCGCTGGTCCGGGCTGTCGCGGCCCGACGGCCGGTACGTCTTCGTCGTCGTGTAACGCTCGGGGGTCCGCCGCTGGTCCGGCCGGTCCCGCTCCTGCGGCCGGTACGTCGTGGTAGTAGTGTACTTCTCCAGCGGCGGGCGGCGCTCGGGCGTATCTCGCTCCTCCGGGCGCGCCGGCCTGGTGGCGGCGGTGCGGCCCGGCAGCGGTCGCCGGTCAGGACTAGAGTCGGTGGAGGGCGGGTAGATGTAGTCAATCTCAGTCTCCTCCACCACGCGCCGCGTGACGCGCGGCCGTCCGGGCCCGTCGACCACCGGGGCCGGGCTCCGGCTGTGCCGCGGGTTCAGCACGCTCTGCGTGATCTCGCGCCGCTCCGGCCGGTACTGTGTCGTGTTAGAGTAGACGGGCGGCGAGGACCGCCGCGTCGGCCGGCCGCGCGTCTCGTCCCCGCTCTCCGGGCTGTCGCTGCGCCGCTCCGTCACGTGCCGCTCCACGTGCCGCTCCACGTGGCGCGTGTACGTGGCGGCGGGCGGCGACGGCGAGCGTTGCCGAGGGCTCAGGTACCGCTGCCCGGTGGTGGTGTGCGACGGCGGCTCTGGGCGTGGCGAGACCGGCCGCGGCGACACGCTGCGCCGGCTGGAGCTGTACCGCTCCGTGCGCGTGGTGTACGTGGTGATGGCCGGCGGGCTGGCGGGCCGCGGCGCCGCATGCTCCGGCCGGCCGCCGCGGGGCGAGGGCGCCCGCGGGCTGGTGGCGCGCGGCAGAGACGAATACCGCTCGGTTTTGGTGGTGAAGCTGCTGACAACCGGAGCTGGACTGGGCCCGCGCGGCTCTGGGACGTACCGCTCCGTCCTGGTGGTGTAGCTCGTTCCCACAGGTGGAGGACTGGCGGCCCGCGGCAGGGTAGAGTACCGCTCTGTCCTTGTCGTGTAGCTTGTCCCCACAGGCGGGGGACTGGCGGCCCGCGGCAGGGTAGAGTACCGCTCTGTCCTTGTCGTGTAGCTTGTCCCCACAGGCGGGGGACTGGCGGCCCGCGGCAGGGTAGAGTACCGCTCTGTCCTTGTCGTGTAGCTTGTCCCCACAGGCGGGGGACTGGCAGCCCGCGGCAGGGTAGAGTACCGCTCCGTCCTGGTGGTGAAGCTGCCCGGCTGAGGGGATCGCGGCCGCGGGCTGGCCGACCTCGGGTCGACGCCGTAGCGGTCTGTGCGGGTGGTGACGCTGCTGGTGACCATGGTCGGAGAGCGCGAGCGGTCGGCCGGCGGGCCAGTGACGTACCGCTCCGTCCTGGTGGTGAAGCCGCCCGGCTGGGGGGAGCGCCGCCGATCGGCCGGGCTGCCGTCCCGCGGCCCATACCGCTCCGTCACCAGCCGGCTCGTGTGTGTACCGCCATCCGGCGGCGCGTGGGGCTCGACGCGATAGGGGTATGGCTGCGATTGTGGAGCGTCCTGATAATGCAGACCACCTACAGAGGGAGAGGGGCGTTAGTGGTCCGGTTAGAGGGACAGTGGTGTGAACCGAGTGGAGCGATTGTGTTACGAGATGATTCGTTAATATTTCGGGGATCTTAGAGGTTAACAGAGTTAATTTCTATGTTGAGTCGAGACTATAGTAGTTTTAGAAGGAACAGAGTTCGAGTCCAAAAGTCGTTTTGTTCAAATGTCACAAGGCCTAGATGAAATTTAGGGTCACCATTTTAACCTTGCTGCAGACTGTAGCACTGGTGAAGGTGAAGATGTACACTACACTTAACTGTAGATGTTCTTTGAGGTTTTCTGCATTCACGATGCAAATACGTTTGTGCAGACAAAATACACCTCGACTTTGTTCTGGCGGCCACCGTGACATGTCGTCTGCTATCGAAACGATGTAGCCCAGACGCGACTGACCCGCTGGAGCAATGCGTGAAGCTCTTTGTCCACTATGTAAAGTATTACAGGCTGCAATTCCCTCGCAACATCCCGACACTAAACTGCAGTACATTTCCAAACCGACGAACGGCACCGAAAAAGACAAGGCAGCTTCTCTCTTCCAGACGTTGGCGCACTGATAAGAGAGAAACTATTTGTCTCTCCCTGACATAAACATCGGCTATGGCACCTGACCGCACACCTCACCTCAGCGGGCCGCTAGTGCCTGCCTGCTCGGCCGTTCGCTTACTTTTCATCTCCTCCAGCGTGGAGCGCATCCACTGGATGTCCTCCTCGGGGCTCTTGACGCGCGGCGGTGGCGACGCCTTCAGCCGGCTGTTCAGCTCGTTCAGGCGGCTGGCGTTCACCGTCGAGTTCATCGACCGCTTGGTGATGGAGTGCTTGCCGTTCTTGTCCACGCGCAGCTTGAATGGGTTACCTGCGTGGGAGCAGGGTCGATGGGTGAGCAGGGGTTGTTTGCAGCTTTTTATCCAAGGCAGCCAGAGAGTGATCGTTTTCACAGGGGCTATGTCAAACACTGAGCTGTTGAGGCTACTTATGGCGTCGCCTGGATTTCGTCTTGGCGGGATGGACAGGCTCTGCAGGAGCCGAGCTCTGTCCTTTTGGTTTCCCAGACGCGCAGCTTAACCGCACACTACCGGGACGCTCAGAAAATGATCTCTTCGAATATACTTTCAACGTGTTCTTGCCTCTGGCGAGAACGGACTCAACGCTTGCTTGCGATAGCTATTTTTTGCAGCTGATCGCAAGCGTCCTCAAACGAGAGTCGGCGCAGCGAGTCGCCAACGAGAGTCAGACGACAGTCACCTTCAGTCGCGCATAGCTGCAGGTGCACGAGCGCTAAGGATTCCGTTTTAACGTGACACAGGTCCCGAAAAATGCACACTCGTCCCGATGAGTAGCCCCGTTCTTTTCACAGAACATGTCCCGCTGGACTGCTGTCTCAGCGCCTCACCTTTGACCTCGATGCCGTTGAAGTAGATGTACACGCGGTACTTTCCGTAGTCGGGGGGCGTGACGGTGACGCGGTACAAGTCCTTCTCGATCTCGGTCAGCGTGTGCGGCAGTGAGCGCGCCTCCCACACGATGTCCGTCCTGGCTTCCCCCCAGCCGGCGTCCCGCGCGTCCACCATGAACGTGAACGGCCGGTCCGGCTCCGTGCCCTCCAGTTCGCCCACCTGTGGGGACGGGTCAGGTCAAGTGACTATAGAGGTCAGGCCAATACGCTGGCAACAACTGAACGTGAGTGCGTTTGCAAATGGTTCGCCGCGAATGGCTCAAAAGCGCGCATGCTTAAGTCTGGACAACTCATCCGCTATTTCGTGTAAACAATAGATTGCGGACGAAAACAAAATCCAACCAAAAACACGTGCGCGCGCACACCGACACTTCTCCGTTTATTTCAAACAAGGTACCTCGTTTCCTGATGAACGCGGCGGAAACAACTACTTCAGTCCTCACACAACCTTCTGTGTATCTGACAAAGATTTAAAGCAATGCTACTTTCGTAGTCTCACTCCCCCCCCCCCCCCCTTCCACACCCATCGAAGCTTAGGAAGCCAAGCTTCTACCTGTCTGAAAGTGCTGTGAATGGTGGGTCGGTGAGGTGTGTGAAATGCTGCTTGTTGTTTGCATGCTCGTGTATCGTGTAGAGGTTGTGCATGGTAAAATGCTGAATGGCTTCTTCCAGGTCTGGTCAATGTGTTAACAGATTTGCAAACGACGAAGTCGAGTTAATGTACCGATGGAATAAGGATCGATATCTAGGAAGAGGTCATGTCAGTCTGCAGGCAGTCGCGTTGCTTTGCAGTCAAAGCTGGGGCAATGTGCGCCAGAGGCAAACATGTCCGAACCAACCACAAACCGAACAAGCCAACCGAAGCCTGTCTAACATGCCTGCAACTGCACAGATCTTATGACGCCGAGATCTGGCGACATACCCCAAGGGACTCGGGAGTCGCTCGAGCTGCTGATCCCTCCTCACCAAAGCTCTCCAGCACACCTCTCCCTCCCCCCGCAACGCGCGCCGCTCACCCGGACGGCGTGCGGATCATAGACGAAGCAGTTGAAGGGCGAGCCCTGGATGTGCTGGCCCTCGTAGGTGACGTGGATCTTCCACTCGCCGACCTCGTCCGGCTGGAACTTGGCCGAGTAGACGCCGTCGGTGCAGGAGACGGGGCAGTCGAGCGGCCGGTGCAGCGGCGAGTACGCCGTCACGATGATCCGGCCGTCGCTCGCCTCCGTCGGGTTGATCTGCGGCAGAGGACGGGCGAGTCGGGGCGGGGAGTGGGTGGGGGCGAGCCAGGACAGGAGACGGGCGAGTCAGGGCGGGGAGTGGGTGGGGGAGAGTCAGGGCAGGAGGCGGGCGAGTCAGGGCGGAGGCAGGCGGGCCAGGGCGGGGGGTGAGGCGAGTCAGGGCAGGGGGCCGGTGAGTCAGGGCGGAGGCAGGCGGGCCAGGGCGGGGGTGAGGCGAGTCAGGGCAGGGGACGGGACGAGTCAGGGCGGGGAGTGGGTGAGGGCGAGTCAGGGCAGGGACGGGCGAGTCAGGGCGGGGAGTGGGTAAGGGCGAGTCAGGGCAGGGGCGGGCGAGTCAGGGCGGAGGCAGGCGGGCCAGGGCGGGGGGTGAGGTGAGTCAGGGCAGGGGGCCGGTGAGCCAGGGCGGGGGGGCGGGCCGAGTCGGGGCGGGGGAGCAGGTGGGTCAGGGCTGGGTAGGGGCGACTCAGGGTAGGGGGCCGGTGGGCCAGGGCAGAGGACGGAGCGAGTCAGGATGGGGGGAGGGGGGGGGAGCGGGGCAAGTCAGGTCGGGGGCGGGGCCAGTCAGGGCGGGAAGCGAGTTAGTCAGGGCGGGGGGAGGGGCAAGTCGGGGCGGGGGCGGGGCGAGTCAGGGCGAGGGGTGGGGGAGTCGGGGCGGAGGTGGGGCGAGTCAGGGCAGGGGCCAGTGAGCCAGGGCAGAGGACGGGGCGAGTCAGGGTGGGGGGGGGGGGACAAGTCAGGTCGGGGGCGGGGCCAATCAGGGCGGGGGCGGGGCGTGCCGTGGCAATGGAGGACTCGTGTGTCATGATAGTGGGGTGTGGGGGTGTCACGGAAGGGGACGGGGCGCATGAATACGGTGGGTCACAGCGGGGGGGGGGGGGCGGGGTATGCAAGGGCAGAGGCCCGGGTGTATCACGGCGGACAGGCGTTGGCCCTCTACCACCGCACGCCCAGCTCACGACAAGGGAGAGGGGGGGGGGGGGGGGGGGCATGCGAGGCAGCTGGGAGGAGCGTGCTTAATTATAACATGAAGGAGGAAAGCAACAGGTGTCCTTGCTGCAAAGGTCGGTTGGCATTGATAGCTTGGGGCTTGAGACAAATGCAACGAAGGTTAAGTTGGCCCCAAGGGTACAATAGGCGAATAGCTTCGCATGTTGTTTCCCTTTTCGTCTTACTATGTACTGCCTTGGGCTCACTTTATGTTCAGCGAGTGTTCTATGAAGACGATTCACGTGCCACGGCAAATATCAACGCCAGCCTCTCCTGTCCGCACCTGCCACCTCATGGCCCGTGTGCACACCAGCTGCCCCCTGCTGGCCGACTCACCAGCACTTCGACGGTGGAACCGAGCGCGCAGGGGTCGATCCCGGACGGCCGAGGCGTCAGCTTGATGAGCGGCACGGCCCTCACGCTGAACGGGCACCCATCCACCAGGTCCTTCTCGTGGTAGACGCGCACCTGCCGGGAGCAAAGCCAGAGTAACACACTGAACGGACGCCCATCTACCAGGTCTTTCTCGTGGTAGATGCGTACCTGCTGGGAGCAAGGACAGGGTTACACGTTGAACGGACACCCATTCACAAGGCCTTTCTTATGGTAGACGGGCACCTGCCGGGAGCATGGACAGGGTTACACGCTGAACGGACACCCCTCCACCAGCTCCCTCTTGTGGTAGACACTCACCTGCCAGGAGCACGACCAGAGTCATACGTGGTCAGGGGGCATAGCTTAGCATGCGCTAGCGGTCACGTTTTTTAGCATGACGTTTGTTTTGCTCCGTCACGCTTCTTTTACAGCGCACCAGCTCCTGAATGTGAAACGCTTATCATCATTTGATGGTAGCAAGCAAATTAAGGTTCCCTGCAAGTGAATCATAAGAGATCAAGAGTAGTTAACAGCGTATCCTGGACATGCACTCCATTTGCTTTCGTAAACAAGTACTGACTGCATCAAAAACTGTTTAGATAGAAACCATCCAGCCATTGTGTCATGCTACACATTGCGTCACATCCAACCGGTCACCAGCCGGCAGTGGCTGTTGGTATTCCTGGTCACGTGACACCCCCCAGCCACGTTACGCTGCCTTAACACTAAAAAGCAGGTCGATAAGTTGGCGTATGATGGCGGATTGGAGCTTTTATGAGTTACTTAAGATTTAATAGTCAATTTTGTTTACTGTCAACAAACTGGCCACTTCGGGCCAGACTATTTGCTTTCCAGCATGTGATTATTGCCGACAAATGCAACGTCCCACGCAATAGACAAATCGCTTATGCCTGATGATGGTGGAGCCTCAAGCTGCACCATACTTGCAGCGCCGTCGCTGTTTGGGCGTGGGGCCGGGCCGGCGCCGGCCGCCATGGGGGGCAGCTCACCTGGTGCATCTCCATGTCGTTGGGTGTGAAGGTGCAGGTGATGTCGCTGTGGTGGGGCCGGGCTGGCACCGGCCGCCATGGGGGTCATTCACCTGATGCAGACCCATGTGGTCGGGCGTTAAGGTGCAGGTGATGCGGCTGTCGTGGGGCCGGGCTGGCACCGGCCGCCATGCAGCGCAGCTCCCCTGATGCATGCCCATTTCGTCGGGTGTGAAGGTGCAGGTGATACCGCTGTCCGTCGGGCCGCATCTGGACGCGGCCCGACCGCGACCCGGGGCCCAGCACGTCCACTCGCAGGTCGGCCGGGTCCACCGGCGAGCCGTCCAGGAAGTCCAGACGAAACGTCACCTGGGCGCGGATGGTGCTACATGAGACCTGTTTTACATTTATATTGGGTAAAAGATAATGCGATGCATGTAGTCAGGCCCCCGTTTTGAAGCACCAGCGACTGCATGGGCTATATTAACGCCCAGGGTTCATGGCGCAACCGGGATTCGAACCTGGGCCCACTGCATGGGAGTCCGGTCTGTTAGCGATGCTTAATAGAGCGTGATCACAAAAGACAACATACCTATCCGTGGCAGGTCGTAATCGTGTTGACAGCTCCACATGCACAAGACGTGCAAAATCTCATACGTTTCAATTTTGAACATGTGGTAACAACACTTAAAAGGGTGTGGGAAGGATGCCCGGTTCTCAGTAATCAATTTCAGAACAAAGTATTCGCAGCCGTAATATCATTACGCCTGACCATCACCCAATAAAACTCCTCCGCAAGCTCTCGGCTTAGCCTCCAACCTGGCGCAGCGTCAGCCGCGACAAGCCGCCTCCCAGAAGCTCAGCAGCAGCAACAACAGCAGCAGCCACAATGACTACATCGCAGACGCATTTGGACATTTTGAGACGCGGCAACCCATCGGCTAGCATCTATAAGAGAACTTCGGAACCGCGCTCCGTCGCGCCACGCTCCTAGCTCCCACGGCCGACACCGCTTACACCTCCAGCTCCCACGGTCAGTACCCTTCATACCCCCGCTCCCACCGCCGGCACCCCCGCTTCCCCAGGTTTCAAGGCTGGCCACCCCCTCCCCCGGCTGCCGGCGTCCGGCAGTTCTCACCAACCCGGCATCGGACGGCCGGCTCAACTTGCTTCTCCAGCTCTCACAATCGGCGCCCTTCACCCCGCCGGCTCCCGGCGGTCTGCACCCCTTATTCCGCGGCTCCTAGCGGCCAGTATCCATCCTTTCCTTGGCGCTCGTCGGCCTTCACCGCTCATCCCTCCGGCTCCCGGCGGCCAACACCCCTCACTCCCCCTGGCTGTCATCGCACGGCACTGCTCACCGGCTCTCCGACGCGAACGGCCTTGGGTGGTGCAGACGGCGCGCAGCTGCTGCTGCGGCACCGTCGCGGCGCGGCAGCCACATGTAGCGCGCCACGTACGACATGGGTCCGATGTAGTCCACCTCGGGGTCGGCCAGGTCACGCGGCTTCATCAGTGGCGGTGGCACGCCCAGCCGGGTACCCGCGTCCACCGCTGCAGGGCACGGCACGGTCAGAGGGAGTCAGGTGCACGGAGAGGCTTCCTGCGCAGGGAAACACAGCAACGCAGCAGCTGTCGGATTTGAATGCGAGGGGTGGAGGGAGATGTGACATGCACCCACCTCTGTGCAGGCTACTCATCCAGTGGTGCCCCCCACCCTTCAGCAGGCTCGTCCTCCAAGTGGTTTTCCCCGCCTTGATGCAGTTTGTCCCTAACCATGCGATGTTGGTCATATTTAAGTAGATCTCTTCCGAGACAGATGGAGCTGCCCACTTTTCCTCATCCTTCTCCTCCAGGCCGATGGTGCTACTCACCTCCCGCAGGCCCTTCTTCCTGACATTTGGTATTACCCAACCCTCTGCAGGTACTCCTTCCTGGCCAGTGGTGTTACCCACCTTTCTGCAGGTTGTCCCCGCAGACCAGCGGTATTACCAACCTTCTGCGGGTTGTCCCCCCAGACCAGTGGTGTTGCCCACCTTCCTGCAGGCTGTTTCCCAGACCAGCGGTGTTACCCACGTTTCTGCAGGTTGTCCCCCAGACCAGTGGTGTTACCCACCTTTCTGTAGGTTGTCCCCCAGACCAGTGGTGTTACCCACCTTTCTGTAGGTTGTCCCCCAGACCAGTGGTGTTACCCACCTTTCTGCAGATTGTCCCCCAGACCAGCGGCATTACCCACCTTTCTGCAGGTTGTCCTCCCAGTGGTCCGGGTGCCGTCTGAGCGTCTCCGGGGGCGGCACGCGACCGCCATGGTTTCGAATCAGCTTGTTCAGCTTGATGCCGTCGTTCCAGTCCGTCTAAAGGTCCAGGAAGTGTCAAACGTGAAGGCGGTTTGAATGTGACGAGTAACTGTGGTCTATCGCGTCATTCACAGATTGTAAAGTATCGGCATGAGCGTGCTCCTTAGTAACTAACGTTTCACGTAAAGGTGTCATTTTAAGCATCCAGAATACCAACAGCCACCATATTGTTGGGCTTCGTTGTTATTTTGAATTAACATCCGGTTATATTCCGATAGTTCGAAAGCGTTGGCCAGTACTTGGTAAATTGGCATACCCGAATCAGTAAACACTGCAACAGTTTCATCCGCATGTCTGAGAGCAATCCAGGGGCACTGAGGCCGGCCGGCGGGCTAGAGCCACGGGCCGGGACGGCGGGCTGGAGCGGCGGGCCGGGTCGGCGGGCTGGAACGGTGGGCTGGAGCAGCGGGCCGGGACGGTGGGCCGGGGCAGCGGGTTGGAGCGGCGGGCTGGAGCAGCGGGCCGGGGCGGTGGACTGGAGCGGCAGGCCGGGACAGCGGGTTGGAGCGATGGGCTGGGGCGGTGGGCTGGAGCCGCGGGCTGGAGCGGTGGGTTGGAGCGGCGGGCTGGAGCGGTGGACTGGAGCGGCGGGCTGGAGCGGTGGACTGGAGCGGCGGCGTGGAGCGGCGGGCTGGAGCGGCAGGCCGGGGCAGCGGGTTGGAGCGATGGGCTGGGGCGGTGGGCTGGAGCCGCGGGCTGGAGCGGTGGGTTGGAGCGGCGGGCCGGGGCGATGGGCGGGAAGTCTGGCTGCGCCGATTCGTTTGCGTACGGTGAAGTTGTTGATCTTCTCGTCCGGCAGCTCCTGGCGCACCCAGTCCAGGGTTGACTTGTAGCCCGGGCCGTCCTTGTTCATGAAGTAGGACAGGTACGTCATGCCTGCGGCCAGTGTCGACAGGTCACGAAAGAAAACAGCAGAGACTGACTGAAAGCCTTCAAAATGCGCCATTGGTCGTGCTTAAAACACTGTCATCATACATATGGGGCACAGGTAATTGCCAAATATTAGTCGTTTCTACGAAGCAATGTAGCGTGAAATGTTCCACGATCCCGTTGAAGTGTGCAAGACTAATGAACGTCATCATTTGTGATATTAATCTCCTAGAATGACTTCGTGCACACGACAATTAGGTGCTTTGAGCCATAAGGGAAGCTTGATAAGCAATATGCCGTCTGTGCCAATGCGCTTTAGATAATCGGACATATAATCATCCCCATCTTACCTCAAGTCCTAAACAACCCGAGAGTAGCGCTGCTATTAAATCAACAGTACTTGTGTTACAGTACTTTTGCGATACTTTAGCTGTATTTTTCGGCTGTGACAAATGAACGGGTGCACTGCCCCAAGGAAACGTGGTTTGGTACATGTTCAGTGTTTGCATGTCATTGCTATCCATTTTGACGCACCAGAGAGCTCGTCTATGTAGGGCGAGGCCAGATATTCAGGATCCAGCACTGTGGGGATGCCGAAGTGCTTCTTGGCCAGGCTCATCGCACTGCGGTTGTTCTCCACTCTGAAACACGAGGTAAACCCTAGGCATGAGGATCATAAGTCGATTGTGAAACATGAACAGAATGATAAACTTCGGTCGTTGCTTAGGAAGAATAAATGGCAAGCGATAGCTAAACATTGAAAACCGTTGCCAATCTTCCATGACACGAGGTCACGCATGTACAGCTTCTGCCGACCTGATACCGGCCCAGCCCTGCCGACATGTTCTCATGTTCTCACCCTTTCCTGGGGTCCAAGTTCTTCCAGTTGGGTGCCAGGCCCGGCTTGCAGTAGTCCACCAGCGCGTTGAGGTTGACGCCCGAGTTCCAGTCGGTGGTGAAGTTGTTCACCCGGCAGTCTGGCAGAACACCCTGAGGAACATGAGCGCGTCACTTAGCTGACAGCCTCTCGAATCAGTCAGAAGTGTTGGAGATTAGCCGCTCACAGCGATTTGTGACGTGTGTATAAATCAGCTCTGTGTTCAGCCACTCGCAGACGGGGTGGGCCGGTTTCCTGACCTTGCCGTAATTGGTGGTATTCGATGTGGTGTTACCCCATCACAGTGCGCCCTACACGCCTGTTACTGGGGGAGAGAAACGTCGCAAAACGCGGGCACCGTCATCATTTCCACTCATTATCGCTCTATCACGACTGGAAATATGCGCTTGGGTGGGCATGCGCCAAATGTCCTGGTGAAAGACAGCCATTTTTAAAACGAAAACGATGGCAGAGGCTTCATTTACAACGGCGCTGTGTCTGAGTGACCGCCGCCTTAGGGCGGGGTGGTGTGACTTCGAGCGTTTGTTTGTGTCTGGAAGACTTGAGAGTTGAGCATCTGTGCTTTGTGGACCAACTCCACAGGTAGACCAAGCATGAAAACTGTTTGGCGCTGCACGCAAAACAACCCAGACCGCGCGGTAAATGCGGGGGGATCATGTAAAGAACGTGACGTGTGACACATGGCTCACAGAGGTCAGCCAGAGTTGCCTGCATTTGACTGTGAGGAGAGGGTCTTCACCTTTCTCTTCCTCCTACGCGTTTTGTAAACATCACTCGTTAGCAATGACAGCGCAGATATTTTCCTTGTTAACACGCTTAAATGCACATCATCTTGCTGTTGAAGGTTGGCCAATGGCCATTACCCGACATTCCACAGTGACATGCATTTCCCATGCCGGGAAGGAGAGGACTTCACGGGCTGGGTAAAGTCATGGGTACCCATCAAAGAGGGATAATGTCTTGGGTTAGGTACAGATTCGGGGAGAACTACTGATACATTTACGAGCATGGGCAATATGTTTACCAAAAGTTCGGTAGAAACTTTAAAAAAAATCGCTTTACCACGCCACTGCCGGCGCTTCTTTCATTCAAAATTGGCGCCATTCACACCACCTTTGCAATTATTACCGCAAAAGGATGGGTTTGGGCGCAAGCGGGTCCTGAGCACTTTCCATGAATTGGGACTGAAGTCGCGAAAAATGCCAACGGGTTTGTAATGGGCGAATACAAATCATTATAAACCAGTAGCGGGCGGGTGTGAGCACAGCCCTGTTGGACCAGCTGGACTGGATGCGCTTAATTTTACCCGCGAGTGCCTCTGCAGAATCCTGTCGACATGTGCGGATCACAGGCCCGCGCGGCGGTTTTGAGACTCGTTCTCCCTCGCAGGCACAACTGTTCGGGTATGTGCCCAAACTCCCTTATGTTTTTGGACACATTACTCTCAGCATATTTGCTGCACTCGCGGATTGACATGCAGCATGACTAAACAATCCAGCTGTCACTGCTGTGAACACCACATTGGCATCCATATCGAAAGCCGACATGCACGCACGTCACATGGAATCATTCCGGACAAGGCAGAAAGGACGTTTCGCAGTCCCCAGCTGTTCTTGGTGAGGTGGGGTAGGAGCGAGACGGTTATTTTTGCCAGAACTATTAGGCCTACCACAACAAATGTCAGCGCTACACATACAACACGAACAGCGGGACCAGCACTTGCCGAGATGCTGTCAGCCGGCAGCAGGTGAAAATAAACTGTGGGCTGAGTCATCGCAATCTACCGCTGACTCTGCATTGGAAAGGGCAGGCATGTGACAGTATAACGGCACGGCAGGAGAACCGGAGCTTTTGCGGCGGCCGCTCGGTTTCACCGCTGGAATAGGCTTTCCCGCGACATTTGGAGGGTTGGGACACCGCGGCGTTGTCCAGTACGCACGGGCACTGCTCGCTTGAAATGGAACGTGGCGTCGCTTGATAAATAATGGACGCTGGTGTGTCGTGAATTTCATAAGATGCTTCAGACACTCGCTGCATGTGTTTATGACGTCATTGTTTTTTTCATTGTTTGCGATTCAATATGAGACTCAGTATTAATGATACTTGCTTGGCACCTTTGACGCGCAACGTTAGACATGAGCAAGCTTGCGCAACATGACAAGCGCAACATGACAAGCTGTTTTGCATTGGAACTCTTACAAGGCGGGCCTTCAGCATGTCACTGACGCAGCGAGTAACGGACTCGTGTTGTGAACAAAGGAGGATACAAGCAGACCTTGACGCAGCTCAACGGTCGCCCAGATGACCTATTCGACATAGGACGGCTCGAGGAAGTACTTCCAGGAAGCAGTGCAAAAGGCAGTGGGACGCTGTGCTCCAGCTTCGTGCTAGCCGCGCCTTCCGCCTCCAAGCTGTCCTCCAAAAACGGCGGATTCGGTATCACGTCAAACCACGTGCCAATGAGGAAAGCAGATATTTCACCGACAAAATCGCCATTATTTACCTGAAATAGGTTTAAGTACATCTTTTGGAGAGGTCTCCCCACCACTAAATACACCAAGCAGGACCCATTCGCATACTTTAAGCATGCTTTGTCCGGCCATGCTTAAATTATGCCGGCTGTTATTCGTAAGCTGAGAGGCTCTTATCGTGGTACGTGAAAACTAAACTGAGCCCCAAGAAGAGGTGCCAGTGGTGACTGAACAACTAAACTAAGATTCTGAACATAGACGTTAGCTATCACGGATCAGGTTAACAGACTATCTTAACATACCTAATGCACTTATTTTATCACGTTAGCAATCTTTGCTGCATCAACCTGGTGACTACCGGTTTCGAAGGCCCTCATCTAGGTCAGCTCAAGTTTTTAGCGAGCCGCGATAAGTAGCGCGGGCACTTACCCTACGCCAGACTAATGTCGACCCCATCAGCTCGAGATCACTCTGTTATCCCGTGCATGGACAGGCGTGACTGGGTGCGCCGGTAGAGTTGGAGAACGCTGATAAACGCTGTTGTGTCCGAGCCACGATACCAAGTAGCTTCGAGAGGAGAAGTGTCACATAACCACATATTTGAGCATGGTTGTTGCGGCCGTTGCCACACCCCTTTGCCATTGTCGGCATTTTTTTACCGGTAGTGGCTGGTTATCGCGATTAAGGTGTTGACGTGGGAAGCTTCATCTGGGACCGACGAATACAGGGCGCCCAGCTCAGGCGGATTCTTATTGTGACACCTTGCTGTGAGCGAAGACAGCAGAGGGAGAAATGGAGAGAGAGAGAGAGAGAGAGAGAGAGAGAGATAAGAGAGAGAGAGAGAGAGAGAGATAGAGAGAGAGAGATAGAGAGAGAGAAGAGACGAGATAGAGAGAGAGAGAGAGAGAGAGAGAGAGAGAGAGAGAAAAAAAAAGATGGGGAGAGGCGAGACACACCTTTCAGTGAGAATCTTCCAGTTTGTGTACACAAAGAGCAAATAGAGGAATGTGCCGAAGACGTCTTGTGCACTCCCCGCGTGGCAAATACTACACCCTGCTGTTGACACATCACAAAAACGCCACTGCGTCTTCCGACGGCATTGCACGAAGGCTATTCCCCGCGTCCCTTGTATCCTGCGCATGACTCCGCCCGAGTCGGACGCGCCCGGCCCGGGCACCGCATGCATGAGGCAGCGCCGCGGCCGGGCAGCCGCGACGCCAGCTGACTGCTGCCGTCCGCCCCTCCCCTCCCGCATCCACCCCCGGGAAGTCGGCACCGATCAGACCGGTTCTGCCGCACCGCCCATCGCCAGGGCCGTCATGCAGCCGGCGCCGTCCGCCGGCCCGCTGCAGTTGGGCAACGCCGAGCTGGAGCGGCGCGCCGCGGCCGGCCGGCCGACCGGGCGCAGCGGCGGCTCTCTGGCGGCATCCGGCCCGGCCCGGCCCGGCCCGCGTTAGCCAGCGTCTTTTTGCCGGCGAAGCGCCTCTCAGCGCCACGAGTCGGCCGGGGACAAAGCGGCCGCGACCGGGTCGCCCGTTGCCCAACAGGCCCAGTGACCTCGGTGACCTTGCGGACGCTCCATGTCCCCGAGCGGCGCTGCTGGTGGGCCGGCTCGCGGTCCTGCTGAGGGTGTGTGTGTGACGTCACCGGGACGATGGGCGGTCGGAGTGGCGTCGGGTCTGATCGGCGTGGGTCGGCGGGAGCGAGCGCGGCGAGGATCGCGAGACCAGATGGAAAGGGAGATCGGTCGGGTCTGGGTGGGCGCCCAAGGCAGCCGATCCTGGAAAGCAAGGACACTGACGGACCTGCGGGGAGTGGTTTGACCAGCAGGACGGGGGAAATACAACGCATTGAAGGGAGGTAGAGATGCCTCTTCATTCAGTTACCTGATAAAACAAGGTATAATTTGCATTGCAATGCAACATGCTTAAGTGGTCCATTGGAAATAAAATCGCTGGCATTGTCAGCTGCAAAATTACGCGAGTCCCTGTACAACACAACTTGTATGCACATGTCCCTCCAACGAGTCAAATGTGTGCCTGCATTTTTCACCATCACTCTGATGGGGGTCGATGCGACGGCCCCATCACCAAGGTTTTTTTGAAGATATCTTTCCAGCACTTTGTGCAGTCGTGCCCAAATTTTCATTGGCCCATGGGAAATTCATTGCGCGTGTTTTAACACTAAAAGCATACTCCCATCTTTTTTGGTTTCAGAGCGGCAACAGTTTTCGAGGAACACTGCACGGCGATCTACGGCCCGGCGCGGGCGGCGAGCGGTAACGGGCGGTGCCGGGAAATCCGCGCGGCGGGTCGACGTTGTAACATTAATTAGAGTCATACATCATAAATGTATGCTCAAAACGTACAATAATATACATCATTGTAGTCAACATAGAACAAGGAATGCGTCTATTAAGCTCTCGTATGGCCGCAAGGCATGGTTTCTTATGTATAGTGTTGTTAAGCTAAAGAGCTCCATTTTCTGGACAATTTGACTTTTAATCTGCTATAATTGGGATAAATTATCGACATGATAATAAAAAAGTGGCACCAGGCACGAGATACCGTTGGTGCCAATCCACCGGTGTTTTGTATAAGCTCTATCGTTATTATTTTGGG